CAATTTTGACCTCATTCAGTAACAACTGTTTATTGAGCATTTGATATTCTTTCCCAGACTTCAGGCACAGAGCTGTGTAAACAAAAAGACAAGCTCCCAGTTCTCATGAGGTTACACTTAGGAAGGGGACCAGGCAAACAGGCCAGGCTGGATGTCTACCAGGCTAGTGGGAGAGTGTTCCAGGAAGAAGGAACAGGCAGTATAAAGGCTCAGAAGTGCCCTCATCTTGCTGATATTTGARGAATAGTAGATGAGAGGAGAGGGGTATGCAGTAGAGGTGGAGGGAGAGAGAGGAGGGGGAGGGCTGGGAGTGTTCTCAGTGGCAGAATACTTACCTAGTATATGTAGGCCCTGGGTTCCATGCCCAGCACTAGWAAAATGGAAAAAAGGAGGAAGGGGAGGTGGTTATGGTGGGTAAGATGCTCTGGGATGTGGTAGTATTTTTGATGATCTAAAATTTTAGAAAAAAATTACTATCTTCTCTGAACCCTTTCATAAGTCATCACACAGCATTATGACTGTAAATCACACAACTGACTCTCATCTAATTGAATTTCTCTCAACTGACTAAATAGCTTGACTCTTTCAGGAAACCCCCAAGGTGTCACAGGACCCTTCCAAGTTGTGTACTCATCATCTCTTTTCAACTAATTGACAAAGTTTTGAAGGTAGGACTCTTGTTCCTTAAGAGTCTGCCACAAAGCCTTCATGTATCAGAGACACTCAGCAGCTATTAGACTAAATAAATATAATTCTAATTTACATTGCTGAATGATTGAGGCCCCCAAGAATTAAGTTTGTGGTCAAGATTATCAACCTGTTTTGGCTTTCTCTCTCTTCCCCTCTAGTAACAGTGCCTAATTTTTTTTTTTCAGAGTGCCTAATGAAAGCATTTGAAAAGGTCAAATCTAAGGTCAGCCACTTTTGTGGTACTGGAGCTTGAACCCAGCAGTGCACTGCCACTGAGCTACATCTTTTTGAGATCACTAGCCTTGAGCTAGTGCACCATCATATCTAGCAAATTCAGCTACTTTTGAACCTGTTCTAGATAGTTGAAATGACTGCATTATCTTTATCAGTATCTTTTTGGTCTCCTTTAGGCAGACTTTGCTTAGTGAGGAGGTAAATAACAGAGAGAATATTCTAGTTTATATTTATGCTCATGAGAAACAAGGTTATCTCCACAGTGATAGACCTATTGCTTTGGCATCTTTTTGAAATTCTCTGCAATGTTTAATCTCAGCAAATTGCAAGACTAGGACTCCAGATTGTTATAAAAAACAAAATACAAGGAAAGAGTTTGAAGATAGGCAAATTCCTCCACTTATTACTGGTGGATATGACAGTGGAGACCCAGAGACCATAATCTTTGCTTGTGTGGCTGTGGATCAGATTGTCCTCTTGATTTTCCACACTTAGGTCCATACACTTCATGAAAGACACCCTGTGATACTGCCAAAGACATCCTACACTCCTTCCAGTCTGGGTTCTGGCAGGCAGCTTTCTTTCTTCTGGGATATCACAAGATCCCCCTCTCCACCGTTCATCCTGTTCTTTCAGATTATGAAGCTGTCCTCATCCAGTTGGTCTTGCAGGCAGAGATAGTTTTCCCCTCTTTCAGAGCTGACAGTACTTGGTTCTTCTTTTTCTCCATTTTCTCTTTTTTTTTGTGCTACTGGGAATTGAACTGAAGGATACTCTACCAGTTATCTTCAGCTCTTTTTATTTTTTATTTTGATACAGTGTCTCACCAAGTTGATTAGGACCTTACTAAATTGCTGAGGTTGGCCTTGAACTTGCAATCATCGTATCTCAGCCTCTGGAGTTGCTGGGATATTATAAAAATTGAGGGACAGGTCTGAAGGTAGATAAAATGGCTCTTAGTTCACTGTCCATAAAAAATAATCTGTCCGAGTGGAGTGGATGGTGTCCTTCCTGAGGGCACAGATTTCTCTATTCATCAGTAGATGATCAGTAGGTATTTTTAAACCACATTTTAGTTTTAGTGTTAAATACAGTATGAAAGAGGGTCCTTGACCTTCCTCTAGGTGAACTATGAGACTCTGGTGTTTTTATTATTATTTTTGCACTGGCGGGGATTGAATTCTGGACCTTATACATGCTAAGCACGTGATTTAAGGCTGAACTATACCTCAGTACCCACCCCTGCCCTTTTCTTCTCTTTTTCATATTTTATTTCTTTTGTTTCTTTTTATTTATTCATTTTTGTAATACTGGGGGGTTGAATCCAGGGGTGTTATACCACTGAGTTATTTCTATGTTTTTTGTTATTTTTGTTTTGGGACAGTCTCAAGACCAGATTGCCCAGGCTGTCCTTGAATGTGTGATCCTGCTCTTCAATTTCCAAGGTGCTGGAATTACAGGTTTGTGCTACTATGTCTGGCCCAGCTCTGTTCTTTTAAATCTGTGTTTAAATAATGACAAAATTTGGGGCTTATTGGCTATATGCCATCCTGTCTAGCCTGTGTGAGGCATATATCTCTTGTGTAGATGACTTGACTTTACTTGTCTGAACTAAGATAGCCTTAAAAAGTAAGTAACTAGCCTGGCATGGTGGTATCCACCATCCTAGTGACTCAGGTGGCTGAGGTATGAAAATTGCAAGTTCCAGGCTAGTCTCAGCGCTTAAGTGAGACCCTTAGCAACTTCGTAAGAACATGTCTCAAAATAAAAAATAAAAAGAACTGGAATGTAGCTCATTGGTAGAGCTTCTGTGAGTTCAATCTCCAGCATGACCCCCACCTGCCAAAAATAAAATGAAATACAATAAAATGTTACTAAATTTAAACCAATTCAAAAAAGTACTGCTGTTTTGATTGACATTTGCTGGATGGCTAGATGATATTAGTGCAATAAAGAAGGTTGATTCATTCAATTCTCAAGAGGCAGGGTAGAGAAGGAAGAGCCTATGAGTTATACAGTTGGAGTATCTGGGTATGGATCCTGGCCCTGTATTCTTGGGCAGTGCAATGATGAATGTCATACTCCTTTGTATGTAACAAGAGCATGAAATGACAGATCTAAGGTCATCTTTTGGGTTACATTTATGTATCTAAGAGATTGATTAGGAACCCGGCAAATGGCAGGGGCTCTGAAGGAGCAAACTGGCAATRTGAAGAGTGTATTTGCCCTCCCTGACTTTTAAAATGTGGACTTTGCCCATTCAAAGCTTTGCACTTTGCTCTAGTGTCAGGCACTATTCTAAACTTGTCTCCATGACTTATCCTCTAACACAATTGTTACCCTTCTTTTCCAGATGAGGAAATAGAGACAAAGAAATATCTACTTGAGTATATTTTCTAGATAAAGCCTGATGTAAATCCTAAAGGAGTCAGTGAAGAGCATAGAAACACTGGGACCAAGTCCAGGTAGGCTATAGAAATCTTAGATGTAAAAGTCCTTGTCCAAACAGGAGGAAGACAAGAATGAGAAAGAATSTAGTTGGGTAAAGCTTGTGAATCTAGAGAAGAAAACAAGGAGCAAGCACTCTATTGACCTGAAAGTACAGTGGTGAAAACTAGAGTACTAGCTTACTGGCTTGGTTTCAGTGGTAAAGAAGGAGGGCCCCAGGCTTCCAGGCTTCTATGCGGGGAGGAACCTGGAGGACCAGGCAGCATCATGTGACTTCACTATATTTAATCTGTATTTTTTCCTCAGCCAAGATTATAATGGAATCACTATGGAAACAGCATTCATGTATGAGAAATCTATTTGTCACCCAAATTTTGTTTGAATATTTTGTTTTTTTGAATGCTTTGAACCTATGAGGTGAGGCATACCTGGTTTTGTCTGAATTAGACCCTCAAATCCATATAAATGGGGGAATCCAAGGCTGGGACTGTACCTCAGTGGTAAAGTGCTTGTCTTGCAGGTGTGAGGCACTAGGTTAAATTTTCAGCACCACATATAAATAAATAAAGGTCCATCAATAATGACCACAAAAAAGCGTTGGGGGGGGGGGGACCCAGGAAAGCACTCCACCACTAGTTCATTAGTCAAAAACATGTTTCTAATATAGTGGCTTATGAAGTTACTCTACTATGTTGCAAATAGAAAAAAAGGATGAGCTGCTAGACATGAAAAACAAGGTGCAATGATGAATTTTGTAAAAGAGAAAACAAACTGCATCTACTAGCTAACATTGCTTAGGTATTTCTCATAGGAGCTTCTCATCTCTAGTAACATCGTTATCAGCGCTGGTTAAGATTTTTTCTTACTTTGCAGCTATTTTAAATTTATGACCAGCAGGCAGGCAGGAATGCAGGATTCACCCTCCCCCTCCAATCCCATTACTTTTCTACTTCGAAAATGTAAACATATATACATTATTGTTTGGCTCTTCCTTTTCATTCGATTACTCTTTTTCTAAGTTTGGGGGATCTAACTCAGACGGTTCACCCAAATTATGTAAAAGGAAAGAAACCAAGTGTTTGGGACATTTCCCCTCACCCCACCCAGAATTATCCAGGTCATGGTCTCTGTTCTTTGTTTCGGGAGCAGGGTCTCCTAGCTCATGGCAGGGTGCTGCAAGTCAGTCCTTTCCAGGGTTTCCCCTAGTCGCAGCCACGGGTACTCAGCAGCACAACGCGCCTACCCCCAAAACCCCTCCAGCAGCCAGAGCTCTGCGGGAGCGGAGACTCTAGGACCGCGCAGCGGGCGGGAGTGAGCCAATGCCCACCCTCGGCACCGCCCCCGACACGCAAAGGGGTGGGGCCGGGCCAGAGTTCCGCCGCTCGCGCACCCAGGCCTGGGAGGCGGGCGCCGAGCAGTGGGCGGGGTCGTACGCTGGCCAGGGAGGGGCTGGAGTTTTGTGGCTGCAGCTACAGAACCGCGGAGGCGGGCACCGACGGGCGGGTTGGGCAGTGCTGCCGTGCAGCGCAACTGCCGGGCTTTAGGGCCTCCGCGGAGCCCGCTTCCCGGCGCGCTGGGCGGGGTGTGCGGCGAGCGGCTTCGCGGGCAGGCGCGGGCCCGGAGGCAGCGGCTGCGCCCTGCGCCGGGGCGGAGCCGGGGGCGGGCGGCCGGCAGGCGGGGGCTAGGGCCGAGGCCGAGAGTGCCTGAGCGCCGGCGGCTACGACGGCAGCGGAGGCCCAGCAGGCTCTGTGCRTGGGTCCGCGGCGGCTCGGGGTCCGCCCGCGGGTTGCGGTGCGAGCGGGGGGCCCGGCTGCCCTCCTCCCCCGCCCGCCGCCGCCGCTGTGATTGGGTGGAAGATGGCGCTGGGCGGATGGAAATCCTAATGACAGTCTCCAAATTCGCTTCCATCTGTACCATGGTAGGTGCGGCGGGAGGGCGGCGGGGGTGGCGCGGAGCCCTCGGTCCGGCGGCGGACGACCCGGGTTCTTGACACTCGGGGCGCTGCCTGAAGGGCCTAGCGCGGGGGCGGTTGGACTGCGCGCCGCGGGCGGCGCGGGGGATGAGCGGCCCGCGCAGCGGGGGAGGGGAGGGGAGGCGGCCGGGGCGGCTCGCGCGTGGCCCAGAGGGGAGACCATGCTGGACGTGGCGGGGGCCGGCTCTGGCCTTTGGGAGCTCCGGGCCAAACCGCGCGAGCCTTCCCGCGGCGCACCAGCCTGCGGGGCGCGGGGTGTGTGCGCGCCCGTCGGAGCGCGGCCGTGGGCCGGGGTCGYTGGAGAAGGGACGCCGAGCCGCGCGTCTCCATTTCCGTCTGGCCGAGCGCCCCGCGGGGAGCTGCCCCTGGCGGGTGTGCGGGTCTGCGGGCAGGAAGGAAAGGTCTCATTCCTACCCGGGGAGGGGACGGAAGTCAAGTGCAGATTTCCTCCACGCGCCTCTGGCTAGGTGGAGCCCCCGACCCCGTGCTGGGGGGAAGGGGGTGTGTGAGAAGGTGGAAACTTTTAGTGCTGTTGRAATTTTCTCTATTTTCTACTCTCCGAAAGGAACGAGCTCTCGGATTTCCAACTTGTGTCCAGGTGGCAGTCTTGTCATTGGAAATCCACGTTAATCTTGAAAAGCAGCGTTAGCTTTCCTGTCATTTGTTTATTTGACTACACCAGACTCCTATGTGTGAGGGACTGACTGTAAGGGCGATGGTATTGTTTTATTTAGGACAGACTTTAGGGGGAAAGKATTAATGCTCCTTAAAAGTTCCGAATTAAGCAAAGTGTGGGTGGATTTAAAACTTGTTTTTGTGCTTGGCCAGACGATCACTGTTTTCCATACGTGACAGATTCCTTTCATTAGATCTTTTATGTAGGGATTGTAATTTGAGTCATCACCAGCAAAAAGTTATTCTTTGCAATGTGGGCCTGGTGKTATGTTTCTAAGACTTCCGAAATCATTTTCATCTCTCTTCACCCTGTTTCATATAGGAGATCCCCAAGCAGTTTTCCATCAGAGGGTGGTACATTTTATATATTTAAGGAGTGGTGATTCAGATCGCAAAAGTGTGCTAAAAGCTGATTGTCTACGACATGCTATGGAACAATATTAAAAATGGCTGAAATCAGGTGGGCTTAAAATCTACAGTATTAAAGAAGAATGAATCATTGAGAATCCATTTCCCCATGTGGATGATTGTTCTTTCTCACAATTTACATCTTAGGAAAGCATTGGTATTAAGGGGACTSTACTAAAATAATTTCTCAGAATTGGGCTAATTATTTTTAGAAATGGTAGTTATTATTGATTTCGAAACAGATGTAATGATTAAATCTTTTAACAGTGATAATTTTACCAGATTGCTGGGCTACACAGACTTTGTGGGGCATAGTTCATTGTCAAAGTCTAGGGCTTTAGGAGTGGTGATATTCTTTACTATTAATTCACTTACACAAAGATATGAAGTATTCCCACAAAATGGCACAGACTACTGATGCAGAGGTGGTTAAGGCAGTTTCTGCTCTTACTGTTTACATTCTAGTTGAAGGAGACAAACAATATTTAAATATGTTAATAAATATAATCAGATTAGAACAAGGAAGCACAGAGAGATTTGCCAAAGCCACACACTGAATAAGTGGGATTCTCATCTCAAGGATGTCAGACTGAAGCTCTTTCTAGGGCTTCCACTCAGGTGCATTAATTAATTGCATGCAGTGTGTATTTTGTCACTGGCAATACCGAATTGTCTGTGCCTGGTCAAATGAGATCATTCCAAAGATACTATTAAAATTGGTTATATCCTTTCATATTTAAATAAATTCTAATGCACTTCCAGAATATGGCTAAATATCTCAAGGTAATTTGAAGTGTTATTTTCTAAAGAAAATTGCCATCCCATCTTCTAAGAATTACAAAGTCAAGAAAAGCAAAGATAATTACTCTGTTCTTTTGTAGATGCTCTGTGCTAGGCTTGGAACACTTCCCATCCTTAGCTGGCCAGTTTGTACCTGTCTTTTTGATCAGGTTGTGTTACCTGAATAATTCTATCTCTATTTATCTGCCTCTGTAGTTTCAGAGTATCTTTTGTAATTTCATACTTAATCCTGTAGTTTTTTTTGCTTCTTTCTATTATTATTATTATTGTTATTATTATTATTATTATTTTTAAAGGGAGAGAATTTTTTTAATATTTACTTTTTTAGTTTTCGGCGGATACAACATCTTTGTTTGTATGTGGTGCTGAGGATCGAACCCGGGCCTCATGCATGCCAGGCGAGTGGACTACYGCTTGAGCCACATCCCCAGCCCTGTTATTATTATTATTGTTATTATTATTATTTTGAGATGGGTCTCACTGTGTTGCCCAGATCTGACTTGACCTTGTGAACCCAAGTGATCTTCTCACTTCAATCTTCTATGTAGCTGGAACTATAGGTGTGTGCCACCATGCCTGGCTTCTTATCTCTTAGATTGTTAGGGTTTTAAAGTAAAGGACTGTCATTTCTTTCTGCAGTTTGATCAGGAGCACTGCCTTTTGCATATAAGAAAAAAAGTTCTCCAAATCCTTTATTTCACTTTTTGACATCCCAAAGTGAATGATTAGTAGGGGTAAGATTGAGTCAGCATGTGGAATAGAGAAGAGAGGCTGGGCTTAACAAAATTATACTTTTCAGAGAGTCAGCAGCTGTGAAAACATTTAGGGTGAGTTGAAATTCAATTCTATAAATATCAAAGTTTACATAATTTATTCATTTGTCAAAATAAGGTGTAGGGCATGTCTACAATAAATACCTTAATTGGATAAGGTAACTTAAAAATAAATGTCTATCTGGCTGTGGTGGTGCACCCTGTAATCCCAGTGATTGTGGAAGAAGCTCAGGAGAATTGCAGATTGGACACCAGCAATTTATCTGGGCAATTTCTTGAGACTCTGTCTCAAAATAAGAAGCTCCATGGTAGAGCGCCCCTGGGTTCAATCTCCAGTACCAAGACCCGCCCCCCAACCCCCAGTGCTTTTGATGTGTCTTATTCTATATCACTGGTATTCTGCTTGCATGTGAAATTAGTAAAATTCATTTTTCTTAACTTAGTATTATAGCCTGACCCAAACAACTGACTGTTTAGATTGTAATGTGTAATTTGTAAAGGTACCTCTTCACATACATAGACATACAAGCCTTTTGTATGTCTACGAGGTAGTATATTTTCAGTTTCATGTAATGTTTGTTTTACCTTTTAAGTAGTTTCAGACTTCAGGGCCTGGTTCAGAGTAGCTACCGAATATTTAGTATTATACTTAATTGTGAAAGAATGGGAAAAGTGGTAGAATACCTGAAGAGGGGCTCTGGTTTGAAATTGAGGAGGAGGAGTAGAATAGACTTTGGTAACAGTGGGTTGTCCATCACGGCTATTACATGGAGACTGTTACTGCTTAATATTAGCTCCATAGATGATATCTCTGACTGGTTGTGATTGTCTCTTCAGCTTTGGGTTGTTGGAGTCCTGGGTGGGAAGGACTTGTTGGGGAAGGAGTTGAGTATGAGAATTCCTTATAGGAGGTTGGTCATATTGGCACCAGCTGGCCCACCCCTTGTCACAAGGCAGTGAGATAGACCATTAGGAACTGTGGTGTTAATGAGGCCAGGCCACAAGGTTAGGTGAGTTTGACAAGTTGTATTTCTGGAGGAAAAAAAACAAAAACCAAAAAACAAGAAAATTTCCCTGTGTCTAGCATAGTACCCTATAGGTGACTTTAAACTGCTTATTGAAGAAGTCCCAGATTAAGCTGGGTATTTGCCTTTTCTTATTGCTTGAGTCTCAGCCAGGTAAGAGATTTTGTGGTCAGTGCAGTCTAGCATCATTCCAGAAGAAAAGGTGGAAACAATGCTCATGTTTAGTTGGAGGGGAGTATGGAGACGAGGGGGTTCTCAGTCTCTTGTTATTATAGTCAGAATATTGTATTAAATAATAAAATTTTRTCTATTTTTTATCTATTTTTGGCTGTTTTTCCTGTAAATGTTAATTTAAGAAGGAAAAAAACTGTAAAAAATAGGGAGTTTTCTGTTATTTAAGTAATTGGTTAAAGGAACATTTGAGTATGCTGAGGCTTATCGGAAGGAGAACATTCAGAAAAAGTATTGCAAATGTTTTATTTAAGCCTTCTGATGTTTTAGCTTTGGCTAAAATACACTTTGGGTCCTTAAAATTTCTCATTACAAGCTTGGTGTCGTTGCACAGGTCTGTAATCCTAGTGGCTCGGAAAGCTGAGGCAGGAGAACTGCAAGTTCAGAGCCATCCTCAGCAACTCAGTGAGGCCCTGTCTCTAAATAAAATATTAAAAAGGGCTTGGGATGTGGCTCAGTGGTTAAGCRCCTCTGGGTCTAACCCCCAGCACGCGCTCCCTCCATCCCCCCCMAAAATCTCATTACAGAAAATCCAGCAAATAATAGGATAAACAGTGCGAAAATCACCTATTACCTTCAGTATACTTTCTTTGTTAAAAAACACTTAATTGAGTTTATACCCTAGAAACAGTTTTACATTGTTTTCTCCTTAAGAGATTGTCATGTTCATTTTAAAATTTGTTCAATTTTAAGATAAGCATGGAGAGTTTGATAATATAAAATGATGATATGGTAAGATTATTAACTCAGGCATAGGGATTGGGTGCTAGCTGGGTCATTGACATGTCATGTGTTTATAATTATTAGAGGGTAAAGTTATATAGTTAGAAGAAATGAAATTTAATATTAGATACTGGGTTTTTTTTTTTCCTATTTTAGGCACTTATTTATCACAAATAAAGGTAAGACTATTGGGATCTAAAACTTAATTGTTGAAAAACTACAGTATTCAGTGTCATACTCAGTTATGTGGAGTCTGCATAAACATAGTCTTCATATCATCTGGCTTTACTTACTTTCTGACTTTCTCCTA